GGCCAAATTTGGCCCGCGGGCCAGAGTTTGACACCTATGATATAAAAGGTCACTGACAGTCTCAGCTAAGTAAATATTCCCCAGCTTGAAGTATTAATGATTCACTGATAAACAGAAGAGATAAATTCTTCATTGGTGTCATTGCACATTGCAGCAAGCACTGCCATTACCATCAGTCTGTCACCAGTCCTCAGTTCTGCATTTTCAGCAGCTGTAACCTACTTTGAACCTGGTGCTTGCCAGTAAAACCAGAGCCAACTTTCCTTGGGTCATGTAAATCAGTAGTCCAAGAACAAAAATATAAAGCAGCAATGGCTCATCTCCCTTTCTCTGTCTTCACCATGATTGACAGGTGAGTGACTCTACCCTGAACTGACAGACTGTGTGTCATGAAGCTACATTTAGATTTTTTTGTTCACATGAATATGTACTAACTGTGCTAACAGCACAAAAGACCACAAAACACGCAAGATGAAACATGAACTTGCATTACCAGTCAGTGCCATCAACTCTTTAAATATCTCTAACCACCCTCACCCCCTCTCTCGAAACGCAGAGGGCCTCTGTGACCAGCATGTGTTAAAGACAAATATAACCCTCGGCTGCCAAAGCTGCTACCTCGAGAGCAGTCTGTTTCTATTAGACTTCTGTTATAAAGTCACAGAGGTGAGAGGACGGCATGCTGCTTGCTGCGCTGTTGCTGTGCTAATCACCGGAAAGGATGTGAAAGAGGAAGGGCTTCAGAGCAGTCACAGATGGAAGTACTCGCACACATGTGAAAAAAATAAATAAGGATAATAATCCATTGCTCCATCAAACACTCACACAATTTAGGCCTACGGTGATTTAACGTGGGACGGGGTTACAGGGAGTTCAGGATCTGAGGAGCTGTCTTTCATTATAGGGTAAGAAACATCAATGATTGCTTACTACCCACACAAGTCATTGTGAGTCATGCAGAAAGATGGATGGATGGATGGAAGCGAGACGAGAAGCAAGGAGGCGAGGCGAGCAGTGTAATATATCACAAACACTAAGGGTCAGTTCTTGGAGAGGAATTTCTTGGAGTTCCCAATAAACTGGCTTAATTTTATGAATCAGGGTGACGAGTCAGCGTCTGTTTTGTCTACACAACAATTTAGACACCATGTGTGCCCCTCGTTCTCCACTATGCTGGCTTTGTGGTATGATACACTCATTTCATTAGCATACCCCCCACCCACACACACACATACACACACACTCGTTTCCCTCCATGCCATGTGTCACAGTATGTCTGGGAACAGAGCAGCAACCCTGTGGAGAGATGAAGGTGAAGACTTCACATTGACCCCTGACTCATCTCACACGTTTTTGACACTGTGACAACTGAATGACAATACTGTTAATTTGGCTGTCTCTACAGTATATGAAGAGGATACTTTCCTGATGGGGAAAAAAAGGACGCCATGCAAGATCATACGCTGCCAGGTGAGAGGGGCAAAGTGAAAACAGCGCCCAGTGACCGCAGTCATTTTCACTAGTGATGTTTGCTGGAAGGAGTTTATGCTGACTCTGCATTATAACCTCCATAAATGTCACACAAGATGCTGTGCCTGGCGACAAAACAAAAATAGCAAATTGTCAGTTTGAATATAAAGATTAGCCGTGTCTACTTGATTTAATCTTTTATTCCAAAACATGAAGAAAATTAAACAAAAACAAACAAACAAACAAAAAAACAAAAAAACACCTTTAGCTATAGGACTTCCAGTCTGAACTCCATATTTGCTGCAGTTCAGTCCTTCTGGTCCCCGCACCCTCTTCAGTAAACAGACATTACATGGCTAGACCTGGGAACAGTCCCGCACAGCAGCTGACACGGGGAACCTGATCCCTGAGCTTTCCAGCAGCACAGCTTGTGAGCTGTAGACATTCCTGGCACACGGGAGTCATCATCCTTCCTTCTACTGGTTTGCTCTCATGTATTTCTTTTCCATTCACACTTCTGTTTTACCGATGTTCTGTCATGATCCCTTTAACTCTTTCTTTTCTCCACCACGTTCCTCTCTTTGTTGACTACTTTTTCCATTTTAGTAAGCTGGAATGAGTGACATTCTCTCTCTCTCACACACACACACACACACACACACACACACACACACACACACACACACACACACACCAGTTCAAAAATGTTTCCAAACAGTACTGACTATCTTGTGATCAAATCGTACCAGCCAAGAACACCTTGGCATCAAGGTGTTCTTTGTCCAGAATATTTGAAAAGAATATAGGATTTAGGATAAAAAGAAATATAACAATTGGTTATTTTCATATGAGAAGTTAATTATACAAAAATGAAAACTAATGTGGGACAAGGGCTTAAAATGTGTATGGGAATGCAGACCCTACTCCCCTTTGTCCCTGTACTCCTGGCACACTTCACTCATGTAAAACCACATCAATCTTTGAAATCAGGCAAACATGTAAGATGTGTTTTTACCATAAATCAAATCCATCCACAGATAGACAAACTTCTACGTGCTACAGTCAAAAGTACTCAGAACTGAGGTCATAAGCAACAGTCTTACCATTTTAAACATTATTCTATTGGTTTAACTGTACGGCATAACAAAACCTGACACTTACTAATTTTTCCCGAAAGACGCTGAAGTTTAATGCTTCCCGGCCTTCCAACAACAATTGCCACACATGCTCCTAATTTCATATTTCAGCCACACATGTGTAGCTTTTAGACAATAACGGAGCTAATGGAAAAAGACTTCAGCTTAAAGACAGTTTTGCGCGTTAATGCACAGATTCACAGCAGCTCAGAAGTCGTGCATTTGACGTTTCCGTTGCTCAACATTGCAGTCACCGCAGGTGTAACTACTTCACACAATAAATCACTTTAATGAGCCATTAACCCAGCGATGCCGCTTTAAAAATGTGCCAAAGCAAAACCACATGCCATATTTACTGTGCTGTAGTCTAAGGTGAAGAATGCCCTGTTATGACTGAAATATAAATAAATAGTAACAAAGTGTCCGTTTTGCTTACAGCATTTTCATAATCATAACAAAGAGTCAACAGATTTACTGAACGGACTCACCTTTCAAACGAGCAGCCCTGTTGAATCTCACAGCTCGGATGTGTGGTGATGCCCAGACACCGTATCCTCTTCAGCGACAGGTCAATCAATCAACTACAAGACAAATCCCGCTCACACACAAGCTCAAGTCGTCCTCATGCTCAGCTGCTGCTGTTGTTGTTGCTCCCCTCCTGGACTGGCACAGTGTATGAGTGTGTGTGCAGTGTGGATTGAGTTAGCCGAGACTCAGTCGAGCTGTTAGAAACTTTTCCCCTGACTGCTCACACCATCTGCACGCTGAGAAAGTCTCCGCTGTTGGACAGGATGACTGTTGCGGTCAGCACAGTCACACACACACGGGGCACCATTACAGCTGGAGTCCGCCCAGGCACGTGCACACGCACACAAACGCGCTCACGCCGTCTTTCTCAGCACCGCAGTATCTGCAGTCCCAGCTCCTCCAGTCATCCCGGCTGCTGAGGCGCTCACGCTCGGTGTGAGACAGCAGTGTGTGTTGGTACAGAGAGGTGGAGGAGGAGGAGGCAGGGAGGGGAGGAGTGTGTGTGTGTGTGTGTGTGTGTGTGTGTGTGTGTGTGTGTGTGTGTGTGTGTGTGTGTGTGTGTGTGTGTGTGTGTGTGTGTGTGTGTGTGTGTGTGTGATACAGAGAGAGAAATCATGTTTGAGGAAGTCTCAAAGAGAGAGGGAGAGCTCCGACTGAGCAGTGCCTCAGTTGACTTTCTCTTTTATTTCAGCATACAGGGCAAAGTAACCAGCAGTTTTGAAACTTGTGCTGCTCATCTTAAAATTTCAACAGCCAGGAAATTTCCCACAGCAGGCTTATAATGCAGAATAAACAGAAAAAATCTCGACTTTTCCACACACCATCTGTGACTAATCCAGCGTGCATACACACCCAGAGTTTTACGGGGTCTTCAACATGACATGTACAAACGACTGCGTGCAGGCAGCTCAGCAAACATTTATTCAGTCACTCTGTCCTCACTTTGGTCCCAGCCCAGCTGTATACATAGCCCCTGGAAAGTGTTGCTTTTTTTTGGGGGGGGGGGGGGGGTCTAAAAGTTGTTGATGAAAATTTGTTTCTGTAATTTACAAATAAAGTAGTGCCTGGGATGAGATCGCATGAGCTGTCACAGTCTGAATCACTGTATCTGTGCTCCTGCAGGCAGAACGTCTGAGTTGTGTGGTCATTTCCCATCATTATGCTTCTTATTCAGCATATTTTACAATAAAGAGCAACACGGCTTGCTAACAAGGCTGGTTATGATCACACTAAGCCACTTTTTTAGGTTACATGAACAAATATTGCTGCTCATCTGTTTGTTTATGTTATTTACTTTTTTCTACTTGGAGGGAAGGCTATCTTCAGTGAGCTTACCATTTGTATCACTATTTGTAAAATAGCTTCCGTACTTAAATGATTTGTTTGCATGGTCTGTGCAATATGTGATGACTGAATGAATCAATAAATATCAAACATTTAATTTAAAATTGGTGATAAAAAAAAATATGCACTGGCTATTTCATACCCCATAGCATAATAGCACAATGTCAATAAAGGAATAGATAAATTGTTTGCATTTGAAAGAAAAAAAATTTCAAGCTCAAATGCATAATTTACAGAACTGGTCAGCATGCAAACTAAATTTTATGTTATCACCACAGGACCAGCATTTATGAATTCCCAATTTATCCCCTGAGCCTGCAAAAGGTGCTCATTACCAACGGAGAGACGCAAATTCCAGTCTGTGTAGGAGGTAGCTGGTGTGCCCACAATAATTACTTCCTCAAAATCAAATCATCTGCATGATGATGAGTTTGTTTGCAAACTCACAGGTAATAAGATGCGGGCAAATTTGACCTGTTGTGGTGGTGCAGTCCTGCGGAGGAGCTGGTTGAGTGAGGTGACGGAGAACTTTAAATGAAGTGCTGACAACTGTGGAGGAGATAATATCAACAAGCTGGGTTCCTGACATAGTAGAGGGTCAAGTGAAGGCTCAGGCCTTTCTTTATTATCTATTAGCTGGCTGTGGGCAAGAGAGAGAGAGAGATCCATGACCTGTTTAGCACCAATCATTAAATTGTGATCATAATTCTCTGGTCATTAGCCATCCGGGCCGCCAGGCTCCACTTATGGGAACATTAGCTTGTCCTCTGCTTCACTTTGGAGTGAAATATCTCAACAGAACTGCAAATGCTTTGTAATAAAATTTCATTCCCCAGAGGTTGAAATTCACTTATATTTCCTTTCTGGGTTGTAATGAAGTTGACACTTTTAGAGCCAGTTAAAGTCAAGTAAATTGCATCGCTGTGATTTTTTTTCTACAGATGTTCATGTTGTGATCATCACTGTTACTGATGGTTTTAGTCAAACTTCTAAGTCAAGGCGACTTTGCTCATTTTAAACTTCACATCTACAGTGGGGCAAAAAAGTATTTAGTCAGCCACCGATTGTGCAAGTTCCTCCACCTAAAATGATGACAGAGGTCAGTAATTTGCACCAGAGGTACACTTCAACTGTGAGAGACAGAATGTGAAAAAAAAATCCATGAATCCACATGGTAGGATTTGTAAAGAATTTATTCGTAAATCAGGGTGGAAAATAAGTATTTGGTCAATAACAAAAATACAACTCAATACTTTGTAACATAACCTTTGTTGGCAATAACAGAGGTCAAACGTTTACTATAGGTCTTTACCAGGTTTGCACACACAGTAGCTGGTATTTTGGCCCATTCCTCCATGCAGATCTTCTCGAGAGCAGTGATGTTTTGGGGCTGTCGCCGAGCAACACGGACTTTCAACTCCCGCCACAGATTTTCTATGGGGTTGAGGTCTGGAGACTGGCTAGGCCACTCCAGGACTTTCAAATGCTTCTTACGGAGCCACTCCTTTGTTGCCCGGGCGGTGTGTTTTGGATCATTGTCATGTTGGAAGACCCAGCCTCGTTTCATCTTCAAAGTTCTCACTGATGGAAGGAGGTTTTGGCTCAAAATCTCACGATACATGGCCCCATTCATTCTGTCCTTAACACGGATCAGTCGTCCTGTCCCCTTGGCAGAAAAACAGCCCCATAGCATGATGTTTCCACCCCCATGCTTCACAGTAGGTATGGTGTTCTTGGGATGCAACTCAGTATTCTTCTTCCTCCAAACACGACGAGTTGAGTTTATACCAAAAAGTTCTACTTTGGTTTCATCTGACCACATGACATTCTCCCAATCCTCTGCTGTATCATCCATGTGCTCTCTGGCAAACTTCAGACGGGCCTGGACATGCACTGGCTTCAGCAGCGGAACACGTCTGGCACTGCGGGATTTGATTCCCTGCCGTTGTAGTGTGTTACTGATGGTGACCTTTGTTACTTTGGTCCCAGCTCTCTGCAGGTCATTCACCAGGTCCCCCCGTGTGGTTCTGGGATCTTTGCTCACCGTTCTCATGATCATTTTGACCCCACGGGATGAGATCTTGCGTGGAGCCCCAGATCGAGGGAGATTATCAGTGGTCTTGTATGTCTTCCATTTTCTGATGATTGCTCCCACAGTTGATTTTTTCACACCAAGCTGCTTGCCTATTGTAGATTCACTCTTCCCAGTCTGGTGCAGGTCTACAATACTTTTCCTGGTGTCCTTCGAAAGCTCTTTGGTCTTGGCCATGGCGGAGTTTGGAGTCTGACTGTTTGAGGCTGTGGACAGGTGTCTTTTATACAGATGATGAGTTCAAATAGGTGCCATTCATACAGGTAACGAGTGGGGGACAGAAAAGCTTCTTACAGAAGACGTTACAGGTCTGTGAGAGCCAGAGATTTTCCTTGTTTGAGGTGACCAAATACTTATTTTCCACCCTAATTTACGAATAAATTCTTTACAAATCCTACCATGTGAATTCATGGATTTTTTTTTCACATTCTGTCTCTCACAGTTGAAGTGTACCTCTGGTGCAAATTACTGACCTCTGTCATCATTTTAAGTGGGGGAACTTGCACAATTGGTGGCTGACTAAATACTTTTTTGCCCCACTGTATAGTTTTGTATTCTGCTAGAGTAGCTTTGCATGGCTCACAGTTGTGAAAATAAGTCTTATTTATCAGTTGCTATGTGAAAGAAGCCCTTTTAACTACCCTCACCCTCTCTTTCTTCTAAGTGGCCATCCCTCACAAAACACAAGGTGTGAACAGCAGGTGGGTGGGGCTTCTGCACACACCAAGGTTGGGGGCACCCACTCTTACTGATAAACAGCAGGTGTTAAAATGCTGACATCAGTGTTGACACTAGAGCAACATTTTTAAGAAGCATTTTCTCACAAATTGCTAATCAGATGACTAAAGACTGTTGGCACAGCAATCATTTAGCTTTATTTTTAAAGCTCTTGTCCATCTAATTCAGTAATAATAAAAAAACAAAGCTTTTTAATATCTGGCAATCAAAAATAAACAGAATTCCTGTTTTGTAATAAAATCTAATCACTTTACAAAAATTAAGCATCCTTATGAGAAATCTCACTAAATAAAATGGAACAAACAACAGCAGGCTCGGAGCCATCTGTCCTCGGCCATCCCTCGGCGTGTTTAATTATATTTGCAGGACGAGGAATGCTGAACATGAAACAGTGTGACCTTGTGACGTAGGAAGTGGCCATCTGTAAACAAGCTGGAGCTGCATCTACTCCCATGAGATATTCTGGGAGACCTCATCTGATAGACAACTTATGAGATTAGTATGGATGAATCTTCACAGAGGAAGCCTCTGGGAATGAGTTTTTCTCAGTGTGTTCTCATGGCCTTGCAGTCAGAGGTTTTGGACTGGTGGCTTCTGGACAGACAGCAGGAATCTCTGTTGAGAAGAACCTACTCGCTGTGAATGGGAATAATGCTTTTGTTATTTGTTTTTCAGCTTTTCAGCTTCATTTCTCCATTTGTAAGTTTCTTATTCACTTATGTCCCCTTGTGTAAATTCCCAAAGAATGAAAGCAGTAGCTGAGTGATCTTCAACTTCTGCCAGTCAGTGTGTCGCGACAGTAAGTGGGTAGATGACCACAGTGGGCAGGTGTCTGGGAGCACTTCCCTTTTAGCATCATAATGAGGTTTAGTTTGGCAAAATCTAGAGAGCCTCTACAGAAAGGTAGAAAGGCTTACGTGTTAGACTCAAAAGCAGATAAGCAGCCAGTAAACGATCTCATTTTACAGAAATAAATGCCAGCTCACTAACTAAGGATGCAAGATGCTCCATATAGCTTCAGTGGCTATAATCAGTACCCCACAAAGCCACAAAGCAGACACACAGAGGTTGTAACTGGTTGGCAAACGCAAACGGTCCTGACAGAGAGGAAAAAACAAAAATACACAAGGCAGATGCAAAAATGACTTAAATAAATGGCAAGTGTTGAATAATGTTGGTGCTTTTTTGACTCTGAGTGAAACTCTTTGAGCCACTTTTGAAGGATGTCTGTGTTTACAGCTTGTTCACACTGCCC